TCATTCATCTCTGAACAAATCTTGCTCTTACGTGTTAGTGGTGCCTAATGAAGATAGCCATCAATTAAATAAATAAATTATAAGATGTAAGATGTAACAACAGTTACAGCACCAATTTGCTGCAAATTAAGAGTCATGAATCCAAACCTATGATGCAATAGCTAAGCTCTGATTTCCTCCTGTGTTCTAGGACAATTTAAAATGCTTTACAAATACTAATTTACTTAATGATCAGAACGCCCTACAACATTGGTGCTCTTACTGTCTCCCCTTTACAGATGCGAAACTCCAGGCAGAGACAGGTTAGGCTGCTGGCCTGAGGTCACACACAGATAATAAATGATGAAGCCAGAATTTAAATCTAGAGAGTCAGACCTCAGAACCTGAATTATAAAACACTATGTTATTGGGGTCTAATGACAAAGTTTTAAACAAACACCAGCAGAATCTATGCACGTAAATGAATCCAGTCCATCCTAAAGCAGCCACCTATGTATGCTCTGTACTGATTTCAAATGTTGCCATGGCTTAACACTTCCAGAACTCTCTCTTTTCTTTCATTTCTAAAAAAAGTTCTTGTGGAAACTATGCCTTGTTGGTCTAAATATCACCAGTAAAAGCTTCACTCTTTGAGGTTGAATTTGACTTTGGGAAATAGTTGAAAGTGATTCAAAACTCAGGTTGGTGAAGAGAGGAGGAAGCAAGTTTGGTAAGATCGCTGTAAGTTAAACTGTCTCTAAGTATAATTTTCAAACAGGGATTCTAGAATTCCAAAAATGTTTTGTGTAATGGCAGCATCATTAAAATGAATGTAAAAGCCTGCAAAGGTCATTCTGAAGAGCATGAGAAAGACAGAGAACAGCAGCATAGATGTTTCTGCTGCAGTGATTCATCCTCTAAACATATGAAACCATCCTATTAGGTCACAATTCAATAGATGCTATCTGACTACCTGACCTGCCTGAAGCCCCTTTCGATTCTTCTGTATCCAAATTTATATAGGGGACATCATCGGTCAAGACCCTGGTGAGAGAGTGACTCAAAATGGGTAATTGAGGAGAGTTAAATAAAGAAACAGTTTACAGGGTTATAAGCAGGGTTTGTGGAAACCAGTGACAGAAAGTGCAGATGCCTGGATGGGCAGCATGGAGGCAGCATCAATGCCCTCGGCCTGAAGGGGCAAGAAGAGGAGCAGGGGCAAGAACCAGGGAGGGTAGCTCTGTGAACAGGGCTGCGTGCAAGGGGCCGCGTTGGGGGAGGCAGCTAGCCTGTGTCGCCTAAATGTGGGGGGAGCCCAGCTCAGAGCAAATACCCCATCTCACTCTCCTCCTGCCCTCTGAACTTGTGCTACTGCCCCACACACCAAACCCCACAAGAACCCACAGCAAAGAGACTGCCTGTTGTCACTTGCCACAGAGATGACATTTTGGGGGCACATTGTGGGGTCAAGCCTGCCTTCTCTCTGGTTCCCACCTTTCCTAGAGGAGAGGAACTGACATGTAGCAAAGACATTTCATATACAAATGATTTTCTGGTTTCCAAACTGGCCTGGAAAAGGGAGGAGAAGAAGAATCTGACATTTACTGACATTGGTTACGTTGATTGAGCACTTGCTGTGTACTCAATGTGACAGGTGTTTTGCTGATGTTAAAAATGACAACTTACTGTGTGAAGAGAATTTCACTTCTGTGGTTTCCCTCTCCTCACAATTACATTCTAATTATCAGAAAAACATCAGATAAATCTTATCTCTATTGACGGGCACTCGATAAAATATCTGAGCAGTATTCCTCAAAACTGTTAAGACCTTCCAAAATAAAGAATACCGAAAAACGATCACAGCCAATAGGAGCCTAAGGAGACGTGACCAACATGACCAACAAATGTAATATGGTGTCCCAGATGGGACCCTGGAAAAGCAAAAGGGCATTCGATAAAAACGATGGAAATCTTGTAATCCCAGCTACTCGGGAGGCTGAGGCGGGAGAATTGCCTGAACCCAGGAGGCGGAGCTTGCGGTGAGCTGAGACCACACCATTGCACTCCAGCCTGGGTAACGAGAGCGAAACTCCCCCTCAAAAAAACAAAAACTATGAAAATCTGGGCTGGGAGCAGTGGGTCACGTCTGTAATCCCAGCACTTTGAGAGGCTGAGGCGGGCAGATCACTTGAGGTCGGCAGTTCGAGACAAGTCCGACCAACATGGAGAAACCCCGTCTCTACTAAAAATACAAAATTAGCTGGGCGTGGTGGCGCGTGCCTATAATCCCAGCTACTTTGGAGGCTGAGGCAGGAGAATTGCTTAACCCAGGAGGTGGAGCTTGTGGTGAGCTGAGATCGTGCCATTGCACTCCAGCCTGGGCAACAAGAGCAAAACTTCATCTCAATAATAATAATAAAATAAAAACCATGGAAGTCTGAATTAAGTGTGGGCTTTAGTTAATAACAATGTATCAGTATTGGTTGATTGATTGTGACAAGTGTATGTACTAATGTAAGATGCTAATAATAGGGGAGGCAGTGCGGGGTGTGTGGAAACTCTGTTATCTTTGCAATATTTCTGTAAATCTAAAACTATTCTAAAATGAAAATTTAATTTAGAAAATAAAAGCCTAGTGCTTCACTTTGCTTGGAGAATAAGAATAAAGTGAAGGAGGAAGAGAAAAGGACTCCTCTGTCATGCTTCCTTCACGCCATCGCTGTGCCATAATGCCAGCAAGCATTGTGCTCCTCAGGAGGCCCTGCCTCGCTTCACCTGGCACCTACACAAACTGCCTAAACAGTCTCCTCTAACCGTGTGAGGCGTTCAGTTGAATTACCAAACTTTAAATTTTCTGAGGTCTCAGGGCATCAAACAATAATCATTTAATATGAGGACACCATTAATACCGTTCTCACAAAATTAACTCCTACTCTTTTAAAAGCAACAATAGGCCGGGCGCAGTGGCTCACACATATAGCCAGCATTTTGAGGGGCCAAGGCGGATGAATCACTTGAGGTCAGGAGTTCAAGACCAGCCTGGCCAACCTGGCGAACCCTGGTTCTACTAAAAATACAAAAAAATAGCTGGGTGTGGTGCGGGTGCCTGTAATCCCAGCTACTTGGGTGGCTGAGGCAGGAGAATCGCTTGAACCTGGGAGGTGGAGGTTGCAGTGAGCTGAGATAGCACCACTGCCCTCCAGCCTGGGTGACAAAGCAAGACTCTGCCTCAAAAACAACAAAGTATGACTAGGAAAAATAAAATAAGGGCACTTAAGTATTTTAGCAATGAAAAATTAACATTATTCTGATTTAACATAGAAATAATAAATTCTACTCCTAAAGCCAGTTTTTGCCAGTGAACATTTATCAGAAGAATGTTGTTTTATAGATAAGCTGTCTTCTAGTGATGTCGACCACTCCTATTTCTAACATGTATATGAAAATGTGTGTGCGTCATTATATACCATGTCATGAATCATATGCAGTACTATGTATGGGACATGTAAACATGGGGTATCAGAGAATTGCCTGTTGCTGGGTAGGCTGCTGGTCCACCATCACAGCCCCAGAGGCCCTAGGATGGGGCCTTATGTTTTTATTTTACTTTGTGTCAAGTCTGGGTCTTTCCTAGCGGCACGAGAGACATGGAGGGTTCCAAGGCTGAGGGAGTGCCTTGTTACCCACCGTGTGTGTCTGCGCAGAGCAAAGTCTCTGACACGGACAGGCTGCCCTGGCAAAGCCTACTCAGCCCCTTCTAGCTCAGCTCACTCCCAGCCTGGAATTTCTCCCCTCTTACTAGCATCCTCCCAAACCTGCCACTCTGCTCTGTCTCCTGGTACCTGTGTGTGTCCCATGGAGGCCACAGGAAGGGAGAGCATGTCCCTGGCCATGAGCCTCTTCTTTTTTTCTGAGGAGTGGAAGGTAGTGAAGGAGTGCAGAGGAGCCATGGGGAGGTGGAAGTGTGAGGACCTTGCGGTCTGCAGGGCTGGTGTGGGTGCAGTTTTGTCTTCAGCTTCTGTGTACCCTGAGGCACATGTCTGCTTTCTCACCTTAGAAGGAAGGATGTGAACCAGGGATAACATCTATAAAGTGCCCGGCACATGATGGGAGTTCAGGGAACAGCAGCAAGTGCTCACAGCTAAAGACCCGGCTTCCTCTGGTATGAGGCCCTGAGAACTGTTATTTTTCTCTCCATAACAAGTCTGACCACCCATTTGCCACAGATTAACTAATAGCACTTCTCAGTTAGGTACTTCATATTTTATTTTCCTCTGGCTTCTTTCCCTTAATAGACTGGATCTGAGGATTCCTTGAATGCCATACAGTTGTCTGGAGGGGATGCACGTGGGGTGTGCCAGGTAATATTTGCTTAATGAATGAATTAATAAACCTCTAGAAGGCAATTCCACAGCACAGGTACCCACGAATGCGAAAGTGTGTATGTGTTTGTGGGGATGCACACAGACTTAGATCTGTGCTGTCCTGTGCACACACACATCTGGACTCAACAAACATCGTTATGAGAAGCAACATAAGCAGATTTGTGACTCAGTTAGTGGGAGCTACAAGTCCTATGGATTTCAAATGCTTCTTTGCGCAACTTTAAATTAATTCTTTAAACGCGTGAATGAACGAAGGCTGAATTGGTATGATTGTGCTGGAGAGCCTCTGAAATGGAATATTAAAGCATTCTACGAAAAAGTGCCAAAGAACAGAAACATATATCCATGAACAAATTTCTCACAATAAGCGGGCTTTTGAAGTTTTTAGGAAAACATTGTTTCCAGTGCCTACTTCAAACATAGAAGTGAAGATGTGCCAGATTCTGAAGTACTCTTCCTACTTCCATTCATGGAAATTCAATTCTGTCAAGATAATGCTATTCTAATTGCTCACCAAAAATAATGGCCACATCGTATTTATTATTAGTTCTTTTGAATTCTAAAGAATCTGTTCTAAAACATTAGGTTCGTATTACTTTTCCCAGCCTAGACCTGATCAGCGTTTTTCTTCTTCAGTTTCAGAACGTTCTCTCCAGCTGTGACAAGGAGGTGCACGTGAAGTGTGCCTCCAGCCAGCCCCATATGTCCAGAAACATCAATAAAAGAAGGGAACCATGAAAAGGCATGGGCACAGAACGACGTGGTCAAAACCAAAAGCAAAACAAAACACAGCTTTGTTCCCAAACCTGCTTTACACTTACAGACTGAGGAACCTTGGGAAAGCTGCTTAACATCTGTTTTTGTTTCTCGTTGGTAAACTGTGGGGGGAACATCCATCTCACGTGGGGTCACTGAGCATTTAAATGAGACGATTAACAGAAATTAGCTTCAACATCTTGAAAAATGTTTTTTAATGAGGGTTTCTTTCATATGTTTAGGCAGGGACCTATAATACGACAGGTTTTGTTTATACAAAGTGAAATTAGACAACGGTCCTACCCTCAGAATGGGTAGGACCTTGGCAGGGAAGGCAAGGTGTCAAGTAGAAAGTGAAGCGTGCTGAGCGACTGATGTCAATAAAGGGGTGACAGGAGAAAGGGGAGGACCGTTGTCTCTCCCGGATGGCTCCATCGAGGGTACTGCTGGGGGAGGCACCATTTGAGTCAGGCCTGGAAATACGGTAGAGAAAAGTGCTGCTGGCAGAGGAGAAAACGCAAAGGCACAGAGGAGAGAGGGAGGCGTGTGCGGCAAACACCTACATCACACTTCGCAGCCTTCAAAGGGCCTTTGCACTCTCTCGTTTATTCCGCACAGCAGTCATTGAAGAGGACAAGAGGGACAGTGGACGTTCCCAGCACAAAGTAATGGTCAATGTTTTGGATGATGGATAAGCTAATACCCTGATCTGATCCCTACACATTAGATGCGTGGAAGCATCACTACGATACACACATCCCTGCGTATCCTGTTATGCATTAATAGGTATCATTAGTATGTGCAATTTAAAAAATGAAATTTAAATTATAAAAACAGGACAAGTCAGAGATTTCCTGGCTGCTTCCCTGGGGGTACAGAGAAGCGAAAGGGACTCACCCAGGCTAAGGACTGTTCCAGGACAGGACATGGCAGCTGGCGGAACTGATGTGTGACTCCAAGTCTGATGGTAAAAACTCCCTCTCTGGATAGAGAAATGGCCCCACGGAAATCAGGCAGGGATTGTTTATTGATGACGAGTGGCTTGGATGTGGGAAATGGTGAACTCCTTGCTTCTGATAGGGCAACATTCCACGACAGTCTGTGGGTACCTGGAGGGACCTTAAGAGCACTGGGTACCAAGAATGGACTCGAAGCCACCAGCTGTGAATGGTACAGGACTTGGTAAGGCCAGGGACCCCACCAGGTGGGAAGCCAACAATAAGAAGGGTTTGCGTCCGAGAGCCTGACTCTGCGAGGCACTGTGCTCTGTGCATTGTGGGCGTCACCGTGCTCCATGTGTGGCAGGTGTCACCGTGCTCTGTTTGTTGTGGGTGTCACTCTGCTCCATTTGTTGCAGGTGTCACGATGCTCCATGTGTTGCAGGTGTCACCGTGCTCCATGTGTTGTGGGTGTCACTGTGCTCCATTTGTTGTGGGTGTCACTCTGCTCCATTTGTTGTGGGTGTCACCGTGCTCCATGTGTTGTGGGTGTCACTCTGCTTCGTTTGTTGCGGGTGTCACCATGCTCCATGTGTTGTGGGTGTCACCGTGCTCCATGTGTTGTGGGTGTCACCGTGCTCCATGTGTTGTGGGTGTCACTGTGCTCCATTTGTTGTGGGTGTCACTCTGCTCCGTTTGTTGCGGGTGTCACTGTGCTCCATGTGTTGCGGGTGTCACCATGCTCCATGTGTTGTGGGTGTCACTGTGCTCCGTTTGTTGTGGGTGTCACTGTGCTCCATGCCTGGTGGGTGTCACCATGTTCCATGCATTGCGGGTGTCACCATGCTCCGTTTGTTGTGGGTGTCACTGTGCTCTGTGTGTGGCGGGTGTCACTGTGCTCCGTGTGTTGTGGGTGTCACCATGCTCCGTGCATGGTGGATGTCACCGTGCTCCATGCGTGGCGGGTGTCACTATGCTCCGTGTGTTGCGGCGTCACCATGCTCCGTGCCTGGCGGGTGTCACTGTGCTCCATGCATTGCACATGTCATCTTGTTTGAGCTTCACAACAGATCTGTGAGGCTTAGACACCAGCAGTTACTTCCTGGGCCACTCAGCTGGTGACAGGATTCAGATGCACCCTAACTGACTGCCCCTTTAGTCTCGGGACCAGGGGATTTTAACTCTTTCAGTGCCACAGATCCCTTTGGCTATCTGACAAAGCCCATGGTCCGCGTCTCAGAAAAATGCTTTTAAATGTATAAAATAAAATTATACGGGCTGAACAAAAACCCAAATGCATTAAAATTTTAAATATTAAAAATAAAATTGTTGTTATTATAACGGATGTGCTTGTTTGTCAGTAAATTAAATAGTAACAGCTGGTGGCCGGTCATGATTGGGAAGTTGTAATGAATGTAACAGTATTTCAGCAATAACTGGAATTGGAATTGAAAATATCTGTGACTTCCATTGATGACAAAGTTATAGATACTGAATACCACTGTTTTATTCCATTCAAAACAGAAGAAAATGCCACATTTCAGTGGAAATTTCATGAAAATTAAAATGTCATTTCTATTCAAGTTAAAAAGCCACCTAACTTTTAAATACTCTGTAGTGAACCTTGGTTAAGGATTCCCAGGCCAGGCTATACTGTCCTGTGGCCAGGGACGGGACTAGCAGGGTCTGTGAGGCCCAGTCCTCAGGTCATCCTTATTTGGGGGCCAGCAGGTAGACGGAGAGGAGGGGATGCTTAGGTAAAGAAGGATGACTCTCTCTCTCAGGGAACTTCTCAGGTAGAGCCAGACCTGGGATCAGAGGGCTCAATGGATAAACCCAAGAGAGCAATGGGGGAATGGAGATGGGGACCTCCATGAAGGCTTGATGGATGGTGCAGGGTTATGGAGGTCATTGTCATGGGCTCCGTGCCAGAACACCATGCACCATGAGCACCTGGTGCCCAGCACCGGAGAGGCTGAGGGAAGGTGAAATGGAGAGGAAGTGGGGAATGAGCGGCGGGAAGGGGAAAACACGAGGGAACAAGGAATGAATGAGCCCAAATTGACCAAATCCTGTCACGCTCCCTCCGCAGCCCTGTGGTTTAGGTAAACCTCATTGCCTTTCTGAGCCTTTGCTGCCTCATCTGTTCAGGAGGGACCAAAACATTGAACTCACTGATGATGTGGAGTTGACTTACGGAGGGACCAAAACATTGAACTCACTGATGATGTGGAGTTGACTTACGGAGGGACCAAAACATTGAACTCACTGATGATGTGGAGTTGACTTACGGAGGGACCAAAACATTGAACTCACTGATGATGTGGAGTTGACTTACGGAGGGACCAAAACATTGAACTCACTGATGATGTGGAGTTGACTTACGGAGGGACCAAAACATTGAACTCACTGATGATGTGGAGTTGACTTACTGATGGATGTTTGACAGACTTCCTGGCATGTAGTGGGCTGCTCAACACGATTTAGGTCGAACTGTATGCAATTGCTGTTTTTGTAGGTCAAAAATGGTTGAATGCGGTGGTTTCACATGGCTCAAATTACAGTTCCCAGCAAGCAGGTATTGCAGTTGTGAGCATATCCAGCTCCATTTGGTGGCTTCAACTGTAACATGGAATTAAAGGAATCCAATCGCCTATACTCCTCACTTCTCCTCCTTTGCAGGAGGGAGTGTTATTGGAACTTCCTTGCCCCCCTCCCTCCCTCCTCTCTGCCCCATAACCAGAGTGACTTTGGAAAAGGGATGCTTATGGCAGCGTTCTCTTGGGCATTCCAGGGAGTGATGAGTCACGAACCACAGTGTGGCATGAGAAGGACTCCTGTGACCTGTCAGTGGATGAAGAGGCAGAAGAAGGAAAAAAAGCACTTTGTGTTCCTTGAACAAACACTCTTCTTTTTCTGGTATGAACAAGTAGTCCAGAGAGGTGAAACGGAAAACCCCATGCACCAGACCCAGGCTCTAACCCATACTCTCTACTTAGCACTTAATGACCTGCATGAGTTTGGGTGCACCACAGTCACCCTGAATTTCAATCTCCTTATTCATAAGAGGGGGCACTGGGCCAGAGTGTCACCAAAATCCATCCACAGGGAGCTCTGGCAATGGAGGCTCTGCTGCCAGGATGCCACACATCCGTTTGGAGTCTTAGGTTAGCCATCAGCTCAGCAGTGGAACAATACCTCCACCAGTATGATGGGCCGAGGCAACCCAGATTAGGAGGTGCGTTCCTTGATCTGAAGCCTGCAGAACTGGACAGCTGTCTGCAGAGCGGCAGGACACGGCTCTCAGATGAAGCAAAGTGAGAGACAGTGGTGGCCTCTGTGGTCAGTGGGGTGAGGTGGAGTAATAACTGTGCAGATTTGTTGTGAAGTGTAGTTTTTCTAAAAAGTTCATTTCATATTAAATTATAAAAACCTCATGGAAAAGTGATTACAGGCTCTTTCTGTGGTAAGAAAACAGCCCCCAGGGCAAAGAAGCACTAAGGCTTGTTACATCTAAAAATATTTTTCTCTGGCTTGATTGGGACTGGTGGAGGTGTGCTGGCATTTGACTCGGGGAGGTCGTACCTTTTCCTCTTCCTCTAATACCGCTTGGCAGCTTTTCACTCTATCTTGCCACAGATCTTTGCCAAAACTTGAATTTACTTCCGTCAGATTAACTGTCTCCAAAAACAAACTGGCATTTCTCTAAGGGCTCTGCTGAAAAGGATCAGCCTGAGTGACACCCCTAAATGGCTGGATGTTCTCACAAAGCTAGAAAATCAACTGGAAAAGCGGCAGCGGCTGAGTTTAATCACACGGCAGTGCAGGCGTCTGCACGGTGAGAGGGGCTGTTGTTTCCCCGTGTTGCGTTTAGAAACGACGGGTGAATTATGATTTTTGAATACACATCCCTCAAAAACCTGGCAGAAGAAATTCTTTCAAATCTCTCAACCCCTGTTTTGTTCTGGGTCTCAGCCCTTCTGCTCTTTGCTTATGTTAAATGTCACCTTCAATAATTTTACCGATCAAATGATGTTAGCTTCCCCAAAGCTCCAGGGAAACAGAGGGCCTCTTCCACGGCAGAGCTGAATGCATATGGAATTTGAATGAGCCAGCTATGCATGGGCCAAAGAACTTCCTGTCTTTAACATTCCAGTAGATGGAGAGGAGAGTCCACGAAGGCAGAACGTGAGAAAAGATAAGAGACACTTTGTCCCGTTCTTCTCTTGCTCTTATATATTTTTCTTAAACACAAAGAAAAATACCCATTGGGAAAATAATTTTGACCCTGAGTCTTCGTCTCCCTCTCCTTCTTCTTCTTGAGGAAGAAGAAGACTCAGGGTCAAAATTATTTTCCCAATAGGTATGTTTCATTGTGTTTGTTTGTTTACTAATTTCCTTTTAAATGTCCATATATTGAGGAAGAAAATAAGGAGGGGATAGGGAAGAAAGAGAGAAGGTTGCTAATTTACTTAACAGGTTACAAATACGAATGCTTAACAGACACATTTAGATGAGATAACACTTCAGGAGTTGAAATGTGGGTCCTGAATATTCTCTAGCTGTGAATTTCTCCTTCTCCCTCTTTCTCACAACGGTCTGTCTCCCTCCGTGTCACCATGCCTTGAATACAGGGGCTCCGTGGCAAAGCTGGGGAAGAACTATGCTAAATTCTCTAATCCTGTATTGAAGCCACCTAATAGTGGAGGGCAAAATCACTATTATTGCTTATTTTTTAAGAACTTTTACTACTTGAACTGAGAAGATGTACCATCAATAAATAATGTTTTAATTCATCTGAGAAAAAATATTTTTGCTATAGAAGGATATAAGCCAATTGCTATATTTACTGAAACTTTTTCATTCCCCAAATCCAAATTTCTCTGAGTTAGATACTGATTGGGCTTATCGAAGCATCGTTGTATTACATTTTTATTTTATACCACTTGTCACTTTTGTTGCTGGAAATGAAATCATTGTCACTTCTCTGGATAAGTTATCTGGATGAGTCAGAAATCAACCAGCTTCAAGCCTGTCAAGTTACCATGCCTCCTTCCGTTCTCTCTGTACCGGCGAAAGTGGGGTTAGCCCGTGGATCACTGGGTACTCCTCCGGTGGCCTCAGATGTGATATAAATATCCCACCAGAATGAGGTTGTTCATAAAGACGTGGTATAAACTGAAGTGAATTTAAAAATATCTCTTAGTTCCCACTGACGGTCACCTCAGTAGAATTCCCTTAGTGCATTAGATTGAAAACCACTGGTGACAACTGCTATTCCTGGGACTTTATACACATTTCCAGATCCAG